AGTGGGCCGTGAGGTCTTGGCCCAAGAAGCTGCAGCAACTTCAGACCACTGCAGCCAACCTCATCCTCAGAATGACTTTAAGCAGAAACCCATGAAAAGGGGAAGCAAAGACCTTTGTGTGGTTAGCCTTTGCAGACATTAGGAGGTCTGAGGAAACTTAGTTCTTCAAACTTCCTATACACACAGGAAAGGATTAAAGTACAGTTATCACTTTAGTATTCTTTAAAGCTGTATTGCAGATGATAGCTTAAGCATAAGGCAAAAATGGCCTCTTCCCACTTCAACATGTCCAGTGAACACTGGGATGGATGGTCTTCTTCACATGTGGGGACTTTCTGCTCCAGCCACTGACCACAAGGCTGAGCCCAAGGCTGGAGCTAGAGCCTGATGTTGTACAGCCTGCAATGAATCCCAAAGTGAGGCAGAGACCCACGTATCCCAGGAGGCTGTGTATGAAAAGGAAAATACACCCTGAGTACCACACAACCTCTGGGAGGGCGACCAAAGCTAATACAGAAGAGAGGAGGTTTGGAGTGCACGCACAGTAGCTGATGGCCCAGATCAATTCTATTCTGGGAGATCCCTACAGGGAGCCCACAAACTGAGATTTGAAGTCTCAGCCTATGCTGGCTTTCAGATAACCAGCAGACGTGCCTGACGTGGACAAATGCTAGCATCTTTTATAGACGGGATGTCTTGAAGTCACAGAAAATAAATTAGTGTGATCCTTACTACCATATCTCCGAGACAGACAGACATGCACTTGTCACCCTCCTGAACCCCGTAAGTGATCTGTGACCACTCTGGATACTGTAGCCCATAGCCTGAACTGTGCTGGCTTGTTGAAACCTGTTCTCACACTTGAAGCTTTCTTTGGTTCAGTCCTGAATATTTGGTTCCATTGTCCAGTTACTGGCTTGTTCTGGTCCTTTTGTTCTTGTATTTTCTGATTCTACTGTGTACTTTGGCTTGGATGTGTCTCACTGCCCCACTTTGGACTTTGGAAAGTAGAACTCCTACCCCTGACTGAGTCTTCATCTGCCTCTTACACTGACCAATCCTTAATATCTCAGCCATCCAACCCTCCCAAAGGGCAAAGATCCTGTCTACTAGGATGGCCAAGCACCCATAAGGGAACATGTTTTTGATTCAGTGAAACAAAAGAAGCAACACATAAATTGTATTTGCAACTGTGTGAAAATATGCCAAGGGAAAAAACAGAAGGAGGTTCTGAATTCAATTTTTTAAAAATACCCTTGTTATATTAATGTTCGAAAGTCTAATTTCAAAACTTGTTTAATGTGACTATTTCCCCTTAAAATTAGGATCAATCATTATTTTTTAATTATACCAATGATCTGCATGTGTTATTTGTTAGCTCCTTTGGCCCTGGGTAGAGACTAGTAAACAGGAACCAAGTAACTTAGATTCTTTTAACTATAATAGAAAAAAGATTTTAATGTCCATCCTCACTTCAATTTATTTTACAAAATTGAAAGAAAGGATTTACTTATTGGAAATGTAAAATTGCTCTGCTAATTTAAGTTTAAAACTGTTATTGTGTTATTTGATCTTAGAAAAAGTGTGTGAAATAATTTTTCAGCTTATCAGAGACTTAAAATTATCTATGCTGTTTAAAAACTTGTAGGATGATTTCAAAGGATCTGAAGTACTCAGTGTAAGTTTCATAGACAAGTGATCATGAGATTTGTCCAGGGTTATGTAGCTGGGAAGTGGCAGAAGTAGAACTTAATCTTTGGCATTCTGACTCTGGTATTCTTTCCCAATTCTATCCACTAGGAAGCTGGAAGATGAGACATATGAACTAATCAAGAAGGACTTTGTGACTTCTTTATAAACAATTTGGTATAATCTGGAAGTAATGTGACTAACCTAAAACAAATTCTGTCTAGGACTCATTAATGGGAATAATAAATCCCAATTCCTACCATATTATCTAAATTCCCTAACAATCTGAGAGTCTCTTAATTCTCTCAAATCCTTGAATTTCTCCCTGAAAACTTTTGAGGGGCAAGGTGATAACTTGAATTCAACTACAGCAAAAGATGTTAAAGTGATATTATAAATTCTAAAGATAATCTAGATGATGACGATTGAGATATCCTGACTCTAGTTAGGTTTATGAGAAACTATAATAAATGCCAAAGAATTGAAAACCCTGATATCATGCCAAATTTATGCAAAAAGAAACAAGCTCCACAGGAAAACTAATAATTAAAAAAAACTTTTCCTTAAATTTGAAGGAGAAACAATTACAAGGTTTAGAGTAGGTTATGATAAAAATTTATAATATGTACAGGGCTAAAATACAATCCTTGACCATGTTGACTTAAAGCACTTCACCAGTATATTTACAGGGGGTGATCAAGAATTTGTTGCCTTCTCCAGAGGTTTCCCCAGCAACATTTTTCACCTTATGATGGTCTGGCTTTTTGCACATCTAGAAAGCACTTCCATAGATTTTTCCCAGTTAGGCAGGAGAAAGGTGATTGGAATTTTATATATGGTACACAAATTTATGTATATGAATACAACGAACCCTAATAGATCTTTAAATTGTTTATTTGTATCGAATCATCAGAATCTCTTCATTCATCAGAGTGGAAAACATCCAGTAGTAGCTACTAGTCAATGTTTATACAACCATTAATACTTAAACAAATGTAATAATTATGAGTAAATGTCTTTAGGTTTCTAGCAATTTTCTAAAACCTATTATAAATGGTTGAATGCAAAACAACCAGCCAAACATGAGGTTAGTTGGTTCTCTCCTGACATCTAGTGTTTCTCAAGTATTATTGCAAAATATCTGTTAATTTTAAACTATTCTTAGAATGAAAATTGTACATGGAATAAAAACATTTTTCATTTGAGAAAAAAAAATTGTTAAATGGAATAAGGCTCCAAACAAAATAATAACAAAGCTTCTGTTCCTAAGGAATGGCACTTTTATTTTTAACTCTTCCCCTGGGAAAACCCTGCAATGGTATATTTTCTCACAATTCTATAGAGTAAAAACAGAGAAACCCAGCACATACGGAGGCGTTCCATATCACAGAGAGGTAGAGAAATGAAGGAAAGGCACTCACTCTCTGAGGTCCTACTGTGTGGCAGGTGCTGGACTTGTAGACTTCCACTGTAGTTGTCTCTGTGCTTTCAGAAACTGCTGGACCATTCTAAACCATGGAATCTTGGCCTATGCACAAGGTTTTGAGGATTTCCCTACTCTGCATTGTGGAAATGAGGAGACACTTAATATGCCCTCATAAAACATAGTGCCAGGCCTCAACTGTGGGTCCTTAGGGCAATCTAGCTGAATAGAAATGAGTGAAGGCCCTTAATACCAACATTTTCTTTCTATTTGGGATATTCCACATAAGTAAAAGAATGAGAAATGATGAAGATAAAAACTTTTTTCTAAAAAGCCATGGAAACTGAAATCAGCTGTGAGTTGGGGCAGGGAATACATCTTCTGTCTCTTCCATGTGCAAGGCCCAGGCTTACCCAATCCTTCCTTTCTTATAGTTCCTCTTTCTAATCCATATACACTCCTACAGCCACTCTTTCCTTCAGCCTCTGCTCCTTCCACACTGTAAGGCCCAGGGTTTTCCAGACTGCTGCTCAAAGCATCAACAGGCAAATTTTCTCATCAATGTCCTTCTTGCTCCTACTGATGTAGTGGTACCTGGCTCAATGAGGGACCTTCTCTACCTGAACAGCCTGCTCTTCTCATTTGTCCTCAAACCCTTCCCTATCGCTGATGGAGTATGGAAAGCAAGGTATACACAACTTTGGAACAAATCCCATTTCTGGAATAAAGTGATTCTAGCATGAGGACTCTAAAAAAGTACATGAGCAGAAACAAACAATCTTGTTACATTTTCTTGCATTTGTGGGCATCATCAATAAAGCCCAGTAAGAACCACCGGAAACAACTAGAAGTCAATATTCATGGGTAGGATGGGCGCAGCATGAGTGATGAATGAGCAGTCAGTGTGAAGTGCCATTAGGGCTCTGCAGAGACAAGCAGATCTACATGGTTCTAAGAAAACGGTCAGGAAGAGGCCTGGTATGGGGAGTGGGAATAGTGCCACTACCTTTTCTAGTGGTAGAAGACTTGAGCTTGGCCAGAAATGGCACATTAGACAGCAAGACATAATAAAAAAAGAAAAAAAAAAAAAACTAAGTCTGCCAGATTTCTATTAAAGTTCTTTCTTGGCTGACTAAATTTGTCAATCCTTTCAATTTCTATATTCCTTCATCCTTATTGTTCAAAGATTGTGATTTACCTCTCAGTTTCTTCAGATTATTATTCTTATCTTTCTGTAAATAATAGCATTCATAATGTCCTCCAATGTTTTTACTAATTTCCTGGGGTTTTGTTCTCTAGCTGCAGCTCTAAAGACCACAAAGAAGAGATGCATAAACACATTTTATTAAACACAGGTCAAAAAATCCTCTCTTTTTTTCTAACAGCTTGCTTATCCTTAAGGAATGCATAAATTTCAGACTTTTGAGGGTCTATATAGGATGGTAAGGGATAAAAGAGTGTAGCACAGATTGAGAAATATATTCAAATGCACTGAAATCAATGCATGATAGCTTTTTAATTATTTTCCATGGATATGGAAAATACGAATGGTCACAGATGTTCATCAAGGGCCTGTGTACTAGACATGGTAGAAGATAATAGTTCAAGGCACAGACTGTCTGCAGGATGTGTGCCCTCTAACTGTGGAACTAAAATGGAGGCAAAAGGAGATATTTATGTTTCTCTACACACATACCACTCACACAACAACATAATCCTGAGACCCAAAGAAGGGAGGCACCCCAGGGTATAGAGGTAGGGTTTAAATTCTTAACGCTGAAATGCAGCTCAGTGACAGAGCCCTTGTCCAGCATGTATAAGACCTGGAGATCAATCCCCAACACCACAAATAATAATATAAAATGAAAGTCTCCCAATAAAAATGGGATGGATGGGTAAGGGGTGGTATTTATTTCTAAAATCAGTACATCAGAAAAAAAAATTTGAATTCTCAATACATTTTTTTCTATCTTCAGACATAAAGGTTTTGCCATGAAAACACTATGATTATCTGTCTCTGATGAATTATCAAATGTAATTAAAAAAATCATATATTGATTTAAAAATCAGAGCTAATCACATAGAAAGGGAATCTCTGTAGCTTTCTAGTATTGCCATTAATAATGAGTTATTATAATAGTTTAATCACAGAATTATTCAAAGTGCTCTATTAACACATCAAAGATTTTCAATCAAACATATAACATTGCTGAAATGAAGAAAAATTTCCAGTATAAATTGGACGGAACTGATAAATCAGGGCTTTCTCCTCCTCAGATTGAGATTCAAAGTGATGATCATTTTTCCGAGCTACAAGAAAAAGAAAGTTTGTTGTTAAAAAAGATTGCATGACAAGGTTTCAAAAAGACTATATTTCTTCCTACAGTCAACATTATTAAATGGTAAAACACCAAAAAGACAATGCTTTTCAGAATTTCCCCCCAAAGTAGAATTTCCCCCCAAATACAGGAGTGCCTGATTTAGACAGTTGCCTAGTGAAGCAGCAGCTGTACTTATCCTGCACCAGGGCCCTGTGGTGCTTGCTCCCCAATTCATTCAAACCCTGACTAAAGAGGCTACATGTGCAGGAGACTTGATACAGGGCTTAGGCTTAGAAATATAAACAGGACAAAGGCCTTCTGCCCAAGTTTAGTCTAGTAACCACACTTTGCAATGTATTTATAGTACACCTCACTGAAGTACTACAAGAGTAAAAAGGATGGAGAAGTTGGCGCAGGTGAAATGGGAACAAATGGAAGACAGGCACTTCACAGATGAGGCAGAACTCTAAAAGGCAAGGAGGCATGGTAAAGTTTGCAGGTGAGGGGGTAAGAACTTAGACTTTATCCTAAAGTCCAAATAAGGTAAACACAGGCTCTTCTGGCATTTTCAGAAACAAGGACATTGGCAGTAAAGAACCAACAATTGCCATATGATTAAAACTGCAGTGAAGGGTACTCTGCCCATGACAGAAAAATGTACTGCTGGGAGCCATTAGCCAAGTAGGTATGACAATTTCCTTGCCAGCGTACCCCATGTTGCTGACATGTTGCAGTGACATTGAATGTAAGTGACCTTGCTCAAGGACCAAGGCAGATTAGGGTGTTCCCGGTTTTAAGATAATCTTGTTTAGGGCGTTCCCAGTTTAGGTTCCAGGTTTAAGGTTTAAGATTATTCCTGCTGGGAATAGGGCGTATCCTGCTGCCTGAGTTCCCCTTGAGTTCTCATGGGATTTAGACAGTATATTTTGGGATAGAAGCCGAGTGGAGGTGAATTTGGGCAGAGAACGTGGATTTGGGCAGAGAACGTGGATTTCCCCAGAACGTGATTGTAGACGGCTGGTGTGAGTTCGGGAATAAAGAGTTGCTGTTTGAATCTACAAGCTGTGTGGTGGCTCGTGATTGTGTGCCCAGCCAGACTGCGGCATTTGTGCCCAGCCAGACTGCGGCAATGTACCTTTGAACTAATGCTACATATGAGAGGTTATGTTTTTGTTTTTCAATTTGGAGACTCTGTCATGAAAACCATCCATTCAACTGCACATAATTCTAAACCAGAATGGACCCAGTAGCGGGTACACCTGGCTTCCCAATAAGAGTGGGAATGTAGATAAAAAGCTTAAGGCGAGCTTAGAGATAAGATGAAAATAAGGCTCACCAATGTCTTCAAGTAGCCACACCCCACCTAAGTGATGCTCTGTTCCTTGCAAACTGTGTCCATACCTCTGTCCTACACATCTATCACTCAACTTAAAAAAAAAAAAAGTATCTATAACCAATCCTAGATTTTACCCACAAACATAAAATAGAACGAAAATTTCTATGTTTTCATCATTAAAAAGCAGACAAAGCCAGGTGTGGTGGTGCACACTTGAACTCCCAGCAGCTTGGGAGGCTAAGAGAGGAGAATCATAAGTTCAAAGCCATCCTCAGCAATGGCAAGGTGCTTAGCAGCTCAGTGAGACCCTGTCTCTAAATAAAATACAAAATAGGACTGGGGATGTTGCTCAGGGGTCGAGTGCCCTTGAGTTCAATTCCTGGTACCCCACTCCCAAAAAGCAGACAAAGTTTATTAACTTTCTTCAATGTGCCAATGCCTTAAAATCACAAACCAGCACAAAACATCATTGTCTTAGAAAAATACCACCTTAATCCTGAGAAGTTATTATAATTAAAGCATTATTTCTAAAAAGAATAGGATCATAATTAGAATAAATTATACTCCATATCTGTATAATATGTCAAAATACTCTCCGCACCGCATATAAATGAATGAACAAAATAAAGGCCATCAATGTTTTTTTTTTAAAAAAAAATCTACTGATGTATATCTAATAAAGAAAAAAAAGAAAAGAAAAGCAATGGAGGAAAAACTAAATTCAAGAAAGAAAGAAAAAGGAAGATACTTTAAGCTATTGTTCAAGAATTCAGCCCACTGCAGCATCTATGATACCGTTAAATAACTGTCTTCCTTTTACTTGACTATCTAGTATCTCAAACACAGAGCTTTAACATTATTTAGTATCTGTTTTTGTTTTTTTTTAAAGTTAACCTATAGATCTTATGAGACAGTTATAGAGGAAAAAGAGTACATAGAAGTCCACAATTTCCTTCAATACTAGAGTAATAAGATTATGTATCCATGTATTACCTTCAGAAACAAAGAACTCTGCTAAATAAAATGCAGTCTTCACAGCATTAGGTTCATGGGAAATGCCTTGTAATTTCTCCCATTCATAAGGTGCTTTCTCTGGATGCCACTGGACACCATATACTGGATACTTATATCCTTTAAGAAAAACACAAACTAGTAAGTATTAAGAATGGTTTAAGATGTTTTTTATAATTACATTATTTCATATCCTATGTAAAATAAAACAGTATTTTAAAACTCAATATAAAAGACAAAGTAAAATTATGAATAACCTCTCAGACACAAAATAAAGAATTTCTGTGCATAGTCTACGTGAATATTCCCAATAATGTATTCCACTGATTTACAATTTTAATTTTAATTCAATTTCACTTTTTACCATTTGTAATATGATTTGCTTTTTGTGATAATCACAGCAAAGTAAAATAGTTTAGCCATGGAATACAGAACAGTTTTAACAGTCAAATGCACAGTCTTTGTTTTGTTTCTTTTTGTGACTTGTACCCAGGGCCTGGTACATGCTAAGCACGCACTCTACCACTAAACTACATCCCCAGCCTCAAGTGCATATTTAATTAGTGACACAAGATTCTTTCAGATAGGTATCTCTTCACCCACTGCTTTAAACCATATTTTCATCCCATAATGACTTATACAAGTAAACTATGCCAGCACTTCTGGTATCCTGTCACATTAGCTAATTTGTCTCAGCCTAAACTCTGTGTACCTCATGACTTTGGGTATCAATTTTTTAAACAGCTTTTACAAGTTCAAAATTGGTATTAAAGACAGATTGGTTAAAAAAAATCAACTGTTTTTAGAACGCTTATTAAATATCTTTACGGATAAAAATGGTATGATTCCTGGAATTAGCTTAGAAACATAATTCGGTGTGGAGAGAAAAACAGATTGGAAATAAGAATAGGGACATGCTGACAATTGTTGAAGCTGAGATAGATACGCCGGGATTCATTTAGTGACTCTCAACATTTACATGTTTCAAAAATTACACTATTTTTTAAAAAGTGAATATGTATAATAGTTATATTTTTTAATATAGGGAATTTAACACAGGAGCACTTCAAGACATTCCCAGCCCTTTTATTTTTAATTAAGGGTCTAAGTTGCTAAGATTGCCTTGAACTTGCCATTCTCCTGTTAACCTCCCCAGTCACAGGGATTACGTGTGTGCCACCATGCCTGGCTTACCTTCTGAAAAATTTACATATTTTTCTTCTTAATCTGTGCCTTCCCTCATTTCAAAGGAAAAAAATTCACTTCTATAATACTTTTCTTTGTAATTATAACCATGACTACCACCAGAAAGTGCTTGGAGAAATGAAGAGAATCAGCTGAAAAGTAGAGATATTCAGAGGAAAGAGCACTGTCCTCTCACATCCTACCACTCTCTTCCACTGTAGAGCATGTCACAAGAAGGAAAACATTTTCTGGCAGCATAGTTGCGGTTTACAGGAGACAAAGTCTACCAGCAAGCAGCTGTGGGCACAGTGTTCATCCCTTCCCCCTGCCTCCCTCCCACCTCCTTATGACTGCACTTTCTTTTTCTCTGGCCTTAGGACTATTCATGAAGATACCAGCAAAAGACCCACATCTCAACCATATTTACTAGGTTTTCCTTATTAATTCATGGTTTTACATTATATAAGATAAAAAGTGATCCTATCCCAGCCATACACATTACAAATATCTCCTTTTGTTTCTCCTCTATTTTTTATTACAACTTCTTAATCTGGCTGATTTCATCAATATTTTACTTTATGGTGTTTCTTTTTTTCTTTTTTTTGTCTCCTCCCTTACACAAGAGCATAAAGATATTCTCCTCTACTTCCTCTAAAATCTTGTTGTAGTTTTCCTTTCCACTTAGGTCTTTTATTTGCCAGTATTTTTTTGTCAATATGTAAATACAGTTTGTCACCATCCCAATTTCCTTCAAGAGTTTAGTTGGAAATGTTAGAATTTTTTAACTCTAGCCTCCAGATTCCAACTTTTCTGTCAACACATTTCACATTTCTGTCTATGATGGAGTCTGCACATTTTCTTCAGATTTGTCTTCATCTAGTTCACTAATCTCTCTTTAACCATGTCTAACCTTCAGATTAACCTATCTTCTGATATTATTTCGACTATGTCTTCATTCTACTAGAATTTGGCTCAAGTCTGATTGTTTCATACTTATATTTTTAAGTGTCTTTTATTCCTTTAAAAATTAAAATATAATTATATTACACTGTACCTCATAATTTAATACCTAAGATTTGTAGCAGGCTGACTCTATATCTGTTGTTTCTATGATTTCTCATACATGGTATTTTGCTTCCTGTGTATTATTGATTTTTGGGGGGCAAGAACTGCTCATATTCCTTCAAATCTTATATGCAGGAATTCCTTGAAGTCTGAAATGAATGACTGTTATTCCAAAAAGAATGATTTCTATTTTCTTCTGACATTCATGTGTGAGCACTACCAATATGAGACAACTTTAAGTAAAATTATTGAGATTTGTCCAGCTTCCCAATTAGCATAGAACACACTAGGAGACCAACCTGTCATCCTGAGTGCTCAAGGCCTATTGACTCCACCCACCCCATTCCCTTAGTGCAGGTTCAAGATGGGCAGTTCTCCTGGCACTTGTGCAGACAGGACTCCAGCTATAGTCTGAGTTCACTCTTATATGGAAGGTGCAGCCTTTCAGGTCCTGCTCCATCTAATACTCTCCATGGAGGCAGGTACTGAACTTTCAAATTTTCCTGATTCGACACTAATGCTGGTATAAATACCTTGGTCAACTCAGAGTTTTAGGCTTGAATATCCTTACTTTCTTAGCATTTCATCAATGTACTTTAGAAAAATGCTTTTCTCTATCAATAGTATTTCTGTGGTTGTCTGGAGGAGAATATGTCAAAGTACTTAATTTGTAATACAGTTAGAAACAGAAGTCACTTTCTTCGTTTATGTCCTTATCCTCTCCCCCTGCCCCTGTTTTTGTCCTAGAAAATATTCAGGTAAATCATAACTGATCTGAAATTCAGACAAATATGTCTCTTATCTCCAAAAATGCCCTCATTTCCACCTTAAGGCCCTAAAGTAAATTGATTTTATTTATAAGACATATATAAAATCAAAATTAATGAATTAAAGTATACACGGTACAATGACACATACCTTCCATCGATGAAATGAACTCAATCTTGTCATCTCTATTCGTAGTTAACACACTGAAAAACTTGCTTAACTTTTCATTCAACGTAAAATTCTAGAGTAAAATAAAAGAAAATTATTAAATCTGTAGCTATTCTAAATATATCAATTTCCTGTATATCTAATGTGATACCTTTATGGAAAGGCTCCATTTGTGGAAATTTGCAGTCAGAGGTTCGGTTGCTAATGACAGCAACAAGTCAGCAGGAAAATTCTGGAACATTCTGCTCTGCAATGTACCTAAAGTAATTTAAGCACAAGATACATAATTTAAACCCAAGAAAAATAAAATCCCCTTAAGTCATTTTTTGCAGCCAAAGAAAGGTCATTATAAAGACATAATCACCATGACCACATAAGTAAAACAGTCAATACCACAGGATTACTCCAAACAAACACAAAATTTGTTTAACAGAAATCCAAATATGTTTCAGGATTAATTATTTTTCTTCCAGAGTATTAATATGAACAAGTAAAATTCTTCTGATATAAGACTTTGTATGCTGGCCATAGAGTAAGAGGAGAATCTTAACTCTAATTCCCCAGACATCTCTGAAAAACATGTAGAATTTTCCAAGTGTTTATATAATTGTTTTCCCAGGAAAGAATCCCAAACTTCCAATGTATTTTAAAAGGTATCTAGAACTTAAAAGATTTAAAATACCAACAATGTAGAAAAGAACATTAACTATTCCAAAAAATTTTTGCTCGGTAAACAGATCAAAGCAGCAATATATCTTAGTGGTCAACATTGAAGCCTCTGTAGTCAGACACATAGACTCAAATAACAACTGAGGATTACATTAAAAAAAAATCCTGATATACTCAAGGCTCTGATGCTAGTTGTTCTAAACCAGGCCCCTTCTTCTAGCTAACAGCTTCCATGAGAACAACAGTACCTTGAATACTGATTTTCTGTATAAGCTGGGTTTGGCCATATAACCTAAATAATCTGAATGAAAACACATACCTTCTTCCATAGAGGTTTTTAAAATAATTGAGATAATAAGAAAGACTTTTCAAAAGCATAAAGCATTTTGTAAGTTCTTTGTATGCCTACTACTATTTTCCTTCCAAAATTCTTATGAGAATAAGAAATGGTAGAATTCAATTCTGAGAATCTATACATTCAATAATGTACAAGAATCATTATGTACTTACACTCAGTGATATAACAAAGAATATGTCTTGTCTTCATTCTAGGTTCCTGATAAAACCTCTAAAGCCCTTGCAATTTTCTGAGGGATAAGCGTCTTTGTTATTTCGAATAAGGGAACTCGGGGTATCTAAGGATGGAGCTCATTACCAAAAAGACAAACCACATGATAAGAAGGCTCTAACTTTTAAGAAGACCAACCTCTGGGAATGGAAGAAGAATTAGATACTGAGTTCAATTATGTGGCCAATGATTCAATCAATTATGCTTTTGCAATGAAATATCAACAAAAAACCTAGACAGGCAAGGGTTTTTGTTGGTATTTCATTGCAAAATGGGGATGCATGCCTATAACCTTAGTGACTAGGAGATTAAGCAGGATTCCAAGTTCAAAGCTAACCTTTGCAGTTTAGAGAAATAATGTCTCAAAAAGAGAAATAATGTCTCAAAAAGAGAAATAAAAAGGGTTGGGGATGTAGCTCAGTGATAGAGTGCCCTGGGTTCGATTTCCAGTACTGCAAAACAAAACAAAACAAAAACCAACCCTGGGCACCAAAGCTCAATGGATTTTCTGGTTGTTAAACAAATGCAGTACTTTCCTGAGTTTTGTGACTCCTTGTACTGAATTACAAACATCAGAAGTCTGGGAAACCCCAAATTTTCAGAAGTTAGTAAAAAGAGTGGGTGGCCTGGGAATATGATTTTCCCATCTGAAATAAGGTGTTCTTGCTAGGGAACATACCCTTTCATTTCATTCATATTTACTGAACCAAACTGAACTGAAGGCAAATAACTTTAAAAAATCCAGATGTTTAGTGCCAAAATTAAATTACAGTATACACAGTTGGGGTTGAAACAAAGTAGGCAACCATGGGGAAAATGTTGACACTGTAGTAATAATAGCCAACATAAAGAGTTGTATTTAAATCACTTAACACACTAACAACAACAACAAAAATCTTATTTAATTCTCTCTCAGGAAAAATTCCTAAGAGGTAGAACCCCCTTTTCAATGAGGAATTTGAAGGTAAGAGAGGTTAGATGATTCCCCAAGTCCAAAGTAAGAAAACTAGGACTCAAAACCAGTTTCAGAGTTCTTAACCACACATGATCTCAATTATCACTGGGAGCAAGAGATATCAGAATTTAAAATTCCTTAAATCATTCTCAAAAATGAATACAAAGGTCATCACTCACATCTTTAGCCTGTGTAGATACTTTAAAAATCAAAGATATAAGCATTTTTTACTTTGATACTTGCTGCTTAGTATTTCTATTCAATATATATTTTTAAAGGGGTTAAAGGGTATCCTCACCTCCAGTGAAATTCAGCGGCAATGTCACTGCAACAGTGTGTTCTGTGTGAGTTAATAAGCACTCCCCACTAACAAGATAGGTGAGCTCCTCAAATCCAAGGCATGTGCCCCACACAGGAAAATAGTCTCCATTATCATAACTCTTTGCAGAATGAAAGAAAAAGAAAACCAAGTTTATTCAACATTTTCAAACAAAAATTACACATGTGGCTTCTCATTACCAGATTTATACATGGATTTCTAAAACTTTGCCCATGGTCCATAAGTAGACTATCAGTCTCTCTTCAGACCAAACTCCCACACAGGCTGGAAAAAGTGAGCTATGGACCCATTATATATCTTGACCCAGTGGCTATAAAAGGTCGTAGGTTAGCTTAGCTATTAAAAGTTTCCAAGCAAGTGTCTCAAATGCTAAAAGCAGTCACTTCAAGAAATATCTAAGAAAGAGTTGGCAAGACACTAGGGCCAGCAAGATTAATTAGGAAATTGTATCAATAGTTAAGGGGAGAAACAGTAAGGGTCTAAGCTATGGTTCAAAGGTGGGCCTAATATGCAACATTACAAAGGAAAAGTCAGAGTCACTGCATAGTAAATTAATTATTTTAAGGTAACTGCAAAGAAAGGTGATACAGGATTGAATGGATTGGGAAGAAAAGCAGATTTCAAGAGGAGATAATTAATAAATTAATAAATTAGGAACAATGCCCAGTATGTAATAAAAAGGTAAGAGAACAGAAGGAGATAGCAGAATTATTAAGCCACATGAAGACTGTGGTTCACACATAGAAGCCAAGAATTAGAAGACAACACAAACACACACACAAAAAAAAAGAGTGGAAGTAGCCACTGGCTGTTGGAAAACAGAGGCCTCAAAAGTTAATGGGTATGAGGCTACTTTACTTGTGAAGAAAGCAATACCATGTGCTTAAAAACAGAATCATCCTCACAGAAACTGATAAAACCCATCTGGAATGATAAGAAATAACATATATTTACCTGTATGGCCAAGTCGTAAAATATTTTGGCTACTTGAGCATAATCTGAGCGCTTGAGGTTAACACTTCCTCCAGGGAAAAGGATTCTGAAACACCAATTAAGATGCATTTTGCCCCCATACACACACACACACACACACACACACACACACACACATTCTCATGGCAAAAATGCATTCTACTGTCATGTATAACTAATTAGAACAAGTTAAAAAATATATTTTTTAAAAGCTGCCTTTGACCAAATTTGGTGTATCTAATTTCATTAAAGTTCTTTCATATAGTAAAACTTAACTGTCCCTCTCAAATGACAATTCCTTTGAAGCAGGGTGCTTCATCCATTTCATTCTTTTCATCCATTTCATCCCCCCCCCGCCCCCCGCAAAATAGTATGAGGTCTTCTGCATAATCAGAGCTCAAAAAAAGGTTCTTTTAAAGTTGTATTTGAGTATTGCTCTTTTTCTGGTGACATTCAAAAACAGTAAATTACAACCCCTGATTTCCCTAATTAAGAGACCAGCTTCCAGTGCCTTGCTGTAGAGGAAAGTATGATCATATGGGAGTAAGAATTGGTGTCAAAGCCTAATATTGGTGGGGAAGACACAGAAGGCATCCCCTTGCTGATTTAAGAGCCACTGCTTGGTTTCCATGAAGGCACACTGGGCATGTGGACAAGCCAGTTACCAAAAATTTTTAATTCCTATCTACACAACTACTATTTCAGATTCCTTACCAAATAGGAATGCAGTTGGGAGAGAGTAGGAAAAGATGAAGTAATTCCAAAAGTATATTTGGGGGTTTCTTCAATTATATTCTAGTCTGAATTTATTTATCTTTGTCCTTGTCAAAGTACTTTGCACATAACAAGCATTGTAAATGTTCTACTAAAGTGAACTGATTTTACAGTAAATATTTACTGAACCAAACTGAACTGAAGGCAAATAACTTTAAAAAAAAAAAAGCAATACAGAAACATGATTTTTAAAAGTAAAAACAGTAACAATAGAGCTCTTTTTCAAAAAGCTTTATAGTAAAAACACTCCATCCTACCCCATTCCCTGAAACAATGTTAAAATTTTTTTGTTGATATGATAGAAATTACCATGTGTATCTCCTCACCAATATCTTAAAACCAAAAGCAAATAGTAAATAAACCATATGCACCATTAGTGCCTTGTGTTTTTCACATATCATTAACATTCATATGACAACAGCAACCCAAAACAGCATCTATAGATATACCAATTTTTATTTTCTTTCTTTCCTTTTTTTTTTTTTTTTTTTGTACTGGGGATTGAACCCAAGGATGCTTACATCTCCAGCCCTTTTTATGTTTTATTTTGAGACAAGGACACACAAAGTTGCTTGGCAATCCTCCTGCCTCAGACTCCAGAGTTGCAGGGATTATAGGCATGCATCACCATGCCTGGCTTAGATTTACTAAATTTTAACTCCTGCGTGGTAGTCTATTAAATGATTATAGTCTTTATAATCACCTGATGAACTATTAAGTAACTTCTAAATTGGGAGTTTTTTCAAGTTCCTGGGTCAAAAGATATGTTTATTTCTCATTTCAATAAATATTACAAAATTGCCCCCCAAATACTATAGAATATTTACACTCCCACTAATAAAATACGAGAATACTTGTTTCCACATAACCTCACTTTGGAGTATTACCAAATTTTTGATCTTTGCCAACTTGATACTTAAAACAGTTTTTAATTGCTCCATTCACTTTCTTCCTTCAATTAAGAGTATTGTAGAACCTTTATTCAAATGATTAAAAGTATTTTTCTGTGACTTAAACAATCATATCTTTTGTGGTGAAACTAGAGAATAAAAAAGTTTTTTCCAAGTTCTAGTCAAATTACTTCCAAAAGATAATCAATTGATATCCTCAGATATAGGACTTATATAAATCCTCTCAGCAAAGCAGTATGCCCTACTATTCAAAGTTGCTTCAAAATATTTTAGATAAGCATTAAAATAAACACAAAGATGTTACACATGTAAAAAGAATCATGTAATAATTATATATTTTCTAATCTACCTCCTACTCTGTATAGAACTTTTGCAACTCCCAGCAAAATATTTCCTTTAAAAGTTCAGAAAACTAATTTCATGCCACTCATGTATTTTTTTGCAAAAACAGATATGCACACACTCATACATTGTATCAAACCAATTGATAGACAGGACTGAGGTGACATACACAAAGAATCAAGGTAACTTACCCATTGATAGATTTAAAAAGTTTTTCATATTCTGCATGTGTAAGATCAAGCCTGAAAACAAACACAGTTTACAAAATATTCATTTCTGAAACCTAAGGAAGAAATTATACCTCCAAATAAAGTTATCACATTAATTTTCAAAAGCCAGATGAAAAATAATTCTTAAATGGTAGACAACATTACCTACCTCCCTACCTTCATAGAGGTATTTTCTCAAACTACATGAAAGTTACACAATTATGCCTTTGTTTTGCTCATCAGACAGGTAAATGTATTTTTCTATGGTCTAATGAAACTTACTATGTAAAACATGAGTTAATATGCAAAAACATGACAATTGGACATCAGTAATTTCTGTTAGCCAAAAATCATTAAAAAATCTAAGAGTTTTCAGTAGTTTATGTAAAGATTAGATAGAGAACTTTATTATCATGTCTACTTTATTTTAACTTTAATTACTTTAATAGCTCTGCAAGATAAAAACAATACAAAAAAATGCCAAATTCCATCCTCATCAACCAGCTGCAATAGCCTGGGAACTACTGTCTATCTACTCAAAAGCCAGAACAGTTCAGATTACACACAGCTCACGGTGGACTGGCCTAAATCATTCTGAAGCATCCTTCAGCAAACACCCCTAAGGACCTTTTAATTATCATCATGTTATTAATGATTTTTATCCTGAATACAGAATAAATCCAATGTGATTAATCTATGACAATTGGCAACAACCTCTAAATGTTGCCATAAAATTCAGTAAAATGTGAGAACAACAAAAAAGAGCTTCATGTTTGTGAAATTCTTCCAAAAACTCTCCTACATTTAGCAGTCTTTTGTTTCTATAAGAGAATAGCAAAATAGAAGCCTTCTCCACCCCCTAAAAAAAGTAGACTTATAATCTATTGCCAACCTCAGTCCAAATCTCACCTAGGGACAAGTGTTATGAAGAGTTAGAACACTCCCATTATCAAGCAGACACCTGTGATGCCTAGAATTGGTTGTGCTCTGCACACAAACCCCTCTGGGCTGTCCTCTAAGTCCAAGTAAGCTTTACAAGTACAGGTTCAGAAGTTCATAGTAAATCTTATTCTGGCAGAGAATCACAAGGCTGTGGGTGATAGTGGAATGGTGCTTACTACTGTCTTAAATGGAAAATAAACTGGCAAGAGGCCCTGTCTTCGAAAGCCACAGGGAGGTGAAATGTGAATCCACACGTTTTCAGTAATGTGCCAGTGTAATCTCTCCAGATTGTGCCAACAAAAAAGGAAACCAATCAGCCAAGTCTCAGAATCCTCCCTATGGGTATTTAAATAAGAAGGAGCAAACCACCACCATCAGGAATCAGAATGGATGGAGATCACTCAGCTACATGCTAAGGACTCCTGCCAGCTAGCTACGCAGGCTAGTTTCAGACACGTCATTATTCTAAACAGTCAGCTCCCACACTGTCCGTGACTGAATCTTTGGGTCCCACTTATCATTATTAAGGAGGCTAATTGTTGAGTATGTCACAAACTCTCTTGCCTCAAGGGCCTATGACAGAAAATAGACCAGGTCACATTTTTTTGAACACAGATGTTATTTGCACGTTGTAAGTCATTTCTTGAAACAAAAGCCTCTCAAAAGATAGAAGAAATAGTTCATTCCTTAACTTAAAAAAAAAAAAAAAAAAAAATGGCTAAGCCTGGTAATGATGGCAAATGACACCCTGCTTCAGCAGCATGGAAATGAGTAGGAGGCACCAATGCCAATGAACAGCACGTGTTCCATTCAACATTAGATCACAGTTGAGCCCAGGAAACCAAGAAAGCCTGGCAATATAATGACACTCCACAAAAAAAAAAAAAAAAAATCCAGATAATCATCTTCAAAAGAAGCCAAATATTCAGATTTTGTAAATGTCTTAAAACACTGTGAATTAAACCCATTTTTAAACCAGAAGCAGCCATGGCTGCCATACACTACCCTTTCAGGAGGCAGGACACTGCTTTCCACATAAGTCCCACAGTAAGAACTGATGGCAACCTGAGAGCAACCTGTGCCTGAGAGAGAAGGTAGCAAAAAGAAGATAGGTGACCAAAGAAAAACTTGTTCACCTACCGCTGAGTTTTGCCTATGTCTCCCATCCTCTTCTGTTTCCCCTCTAAACTACAGGAGGCAGCCCCCAACAACCCAATACAGACAGGAACCTAACACTAAAGGTGTGAGCCCTTCCTTCTTATTCTACATTAGGTAATCCTTTACATGCTAGTCTGGGAATTTAGCTCCCTTGTATTTCCTCATTTCTATAGGATCACATGATGCAAAGTCCAAGCAATATACCTTATGATATACTTTATTTAGCAAGCAAACTGGAGATTAAACTATATGCTGACAGACACACTGTCAACATCTCTGTCATAAATTCCATTATTCTGCAAGCGGTATGATTTCAAAACATGCCTGGTTTCAAAACTTCCGTCTTTCTCATCTCTTTCTTCCTCCCTATGCCCTTTTATTTTATTAGTCATCATGTCTTGCTGACTTCTTTAAAGACTTGTACTATCAACCCCAGGACCACTGCTCTAGATCATGTCCTCATCATTCACACCCAGACCTACAACAGCCTCTGAAGTAGGCTACCTGAGAGTAACCTGTCTCCTCTCTCCTGTCCACATTATCAGGATTAACACCCTAAAAAAACAGTTGCATTAAAATAATTCCCTGATTAAAAATTTGAAATATTGTGTCCTGCTGAGAACTTCCAGGAATCTCTTCCTCAGCTTTAAAACTCTGGTATCATCTATGTTCCAAGTAAAATTTCATTTGAAAAATTCAATTTGCTACAAAAAATTAAAGACTAATGTTAAAAGCAAACATTCATCTTAGTGTAGAGAGAGTTAATTGAAATGCAAAGTATCAAAAAGAAGACAATTCTTGTGAATTTAAACATAACATTTTGTGGTACAATTCTCTAAATTGTAATATTTGACTTTGATTTTTATTGTTATTATATTTAGATAGACTACTTCTTTGTTTTAATTTTTACTGAGGAATTATACAAAAAATTATTGTACAGAATAAGTTGTGTTTTTTGTGTGAAATCACAACAGATTAGATGAGGGTTCTGGGAGATTTTAATATACTAATTTCAGCTGATAATAAAATATGAGATGAATCATTTTTTCTTACTGAACTATTTTATCCCCAAAATAATGTATCTCCTTTAAACTTGCAAAACCCCATTAATTTATAGTGAAGTAACAACACTGCTGCATTAGTCCTTACAAACTTTTAAACCAGAGCATGAGAACTTTTTTACAGTCATCATTTAAAAATCTTCTTCACTCCCTAATTGTTCCCTTATCCTAATAATAAGGAATAAAGCTGGTTCAATTGTGAATTCAGTTATCCCATTACTTTCATGATGTTTGTGGGAACCAACTTTTCTGGGGCAAGGAAATTACCATTTCATTTTCAACAATTTCTACTGAAATTATAGATACAAACAGCTTCATTCATTGAACAATTTAATGACAGACTGCAGGCATTAGGTTTGTGGGAAAAAAATCACATGCAATGTTAATACTTTTAAATAAAATGATACACTCATAGGAGAGAAAGCATTAATTCTGGAGATAAAACACTGAAATTTTTATATACCATATAAAAAAAACTAAAACATACCTTATTGGTATAACTCTTGCACCCGCAGACTCTAGATACTTCACATAGGATGCAGCAATATAATATCTTCCAAAGCTTTTCATTTCCTTATGGCATTTTTGCATTAATATTCCTAAATTTTAAGAAAAGTTTTAGTTTCAAGCAAATCTCATTATTTCTTAGTCAGAAACTGAAACTAAAAATATCATTATTTTATTTTTTCAATTCACAGAACTAAATAGGAAGCATCTCCTGCAAGTCGATCCATAGAATCTGGGAAATGAATAGTGGAGGCTGATCTGAGTTTCAGGTAGCCTCACATCTTTCACCACATTTGGGAGGCCAAGTAAACCTTCCAGAGAAGTCTCTAATAGCACCAGCATCCTTTATGTAACCTCAGACTTGGAATTCATCTCAGAGCACACATTCCTAAATCTAACATGTGGCCATTCCCTTCCCATACACACTCAAAAGACACAACTGCTTCCTTGCGGGACAAAGCAACAGTGTGGAAATATCTTCTATCCACATCTCTCCAACACCACCTAAACCCAAGCACCATCTTTTCTCCCCCAACCCAGACTATTAAAAGGTCTCTCTGCTTTCCTAAGGAACCCTCCAAATCCAACCAGTTTTCCAACAGAAGCAAAGATGATCTTATCACCTACTTCATTCATTCAATATTGCTGAATTATACTACATGCTAGGTACCAAACTAGGAAAACAAGAATGAAAAAACAACAAAAACTCCCTGAGGGAGAATAAGAAGGGAGGACAAATAATAAAAAAGATAAAAAGATATAAGATATAGTGTGATGGCTGGTGGCTAAGTGCAAGGAGTGAGAAAATGTAAAGCAAAGGAGGTGGTGTCTCACTTATAATCTCTTAACCAGGGTGGCCAGGCAAGTTCTCCCTAAGAAAAGAGAACATATTTGTGCCAGCACTTCAGAGAAGTGAGAAAGGAAGCCACCTGCAAATATCCCAGGAAAAGAGCAATTCAGGGCTAGGGAACAGCAAGACCAAAGGTCACCAGTTAGCCTGTCACACTGTAAGGAGTTTGTTTGACTAGAGCCATGTAAGGGAAGGGAGTAAGCAAGAGGATCTGAGATAGAGACAGATCCACAGGAGTCACAAGTTTGTTTAAGCATCCAATGGGTTCCTAAACTTTAGTAAACTACATAAGACCCTGCATCCTCTGTCCCACCCAACTCTCTGGCCTCCTGTTATCACTGCAACCCAAGTTCGCACAATACTAGCATCTAGCACACATCAAAACATCCTAAGCATGCACAATGCCCTTGCTTCAATCCCCAGCACCAAAAGAGAAGGAAAAAAAAAAAGTCTGCCTGGTGAGTACCTGTTCCTACATCATTTCATTTGGAACACTTTCAATGTCTCCGTAGGCCACCTGACAGGAAGAGCCTGTCGTATTAATCATGTCTGTATTTCCAGCTTCTTCCAATAACTGGTACATATCAGGTACTCAGATAACATGTCAAATGTCAAAATGTGTTCAATAAGACTGTTTCTCTCCTTGATGGTAAGATTGTCTTCATTATGAAAAATTAAATTTGGCTAGGAAAAGAAGAATTAGGGAGTGCCATAGGAAATGGAGTGGTACAGAGCAGGCAGGGGAAGTGCCACAAAGCGGGTCATGGGGTATTCATGGGAATATAGGGGCAAGAAGGAAAAAAAAATGACATTAGAATAAATTCCACCAACATCCACCCTGCTCCCATCTCCCACATATACTCACTTTTCCCAACCCTAGAAAAAAGAACTTAGGCTGTATGTACTTTATCCCTAGACACATGACCAAAATCCCACACATACATTAAGGTATCTCCCAACTTTTGTGAATTCTTCCTTTGCCTTTCCTAGAGCAATGCCTTGCACATACAAGGTGATCAATTATTCTGTCTTAATTGATCAGGGTGACCAAAAGTATACTCCCTTTCCTCTGTATTTGACCTAGGGCTATACCCAATTCTAGCAAAGGGAAATGAATCTACTCTCTCCTTTTACCTCTTCCTGGGTGCTCAATATGCAACTATCTACATAAAAAATTTCCTTGAAGACTGACCATCATCACAAATAGCTATATAATAAGACATTTCAGATTCCAAATATTAGTAAGCAACCTATTTGAAAATTGGGTGTTACCCATACATGTGAAAAAAAAAACTAATGTACTTTCTATTTAGTTACAGAATAAAGTGCATTTTTGTGGAAGGAAAAATAGTATGAATGAAATAATCCTATATAGATTGAGCTAAAAATAATGTTAATTGTCCACACGCAAATTTTAATCCCAATCTGATTTCTCCTAGTAGCTTTGCCTGACTCTATCTCAAACATCTGTTCTGTTAATGCACACTGATTTTACTCTAAAAATAAGCTTGCTGCAAATAAAAATTACATATTTCACTTTAACACTAGATAAAATTGACAATAGGATCATACCAGCCACTAGTGCCACCTGATGCTGAAAATAACAAAGTCAAGTTCTTGATTATCTAATCTATTCCATTGTATCTTGAAATACATCCCCAACCAGAGAAATTTTAATAAATATAATAATGAATGTATAAAATTCCTAGATGCAAAATAGAAATTCCTAGCAATGTGAAAAAAATGGATTTTTTTCTTTTAGTAGAAACGCCAAGCTATACAGATTAAAAAGGAAAATCCGCAGGGTTCTTCACAGTGCCCACTCCTAAGAGCCATCTGAGGCCAAGGAAATCTACAAGGCACCTCCTACATTTCTGTACGACACAAAAGGTGGCTAGCCCTGGCTCTTGTACTAAAAAACAGGTATCTAAACCAAGTGCTGGGGTTTCTAAACACAGGGGACATGCTAGTTGGAGCCCAGCGGCTGGAGTCCCGGCTCTGACACCCAGTCCCTACCCAGCTGCGGGCCCCGCACAGCTTTCTTACCGATGATGGGATTCTTAGCGGCAGTTGTGTGGGATTTGCACAGCCCCAGGCTGGCTGCCCCGCAGAGGAGCAGGCCCACCACGCACAGCAGGCGACCCAGACTAGCCATCACGCCGGCCGCCTCCCGCCGCAGTTCGAAAGCACTGCAGCCGTGCGGGCTAGCGCCGCGGCGGCCACAGCGGCCTCAGGGCCCCTGGCTCGCGGGGGCGCGGACGGCGCTGCGCCGCGCGGGCCTATGGGAAATGTAGTCCCGGCGCGCACTCGCGGCGGCCGGGGAACGGACGTGGGCGGCTCTGGGAACGCGCACGGCGCGCCCGCCCCATGGCTCGGCCCGCGCGCGGCCGCGCTCAGCGCTGCCAGTAGGCCTCCACCGAGACTCCAGAAACCCTAAGGCGGGCACTGGCTAGTCTCCGCCTCCTTGGAATCTTCCCCTTCAACAGTCCGTCTTCGCGGCTCTAAGACGCCTGTGCGAAGCGCGGCGGCCCGCCCAAGGTCCTCCAGGGTGAGCTGCGGGTCCCCGCCCGGCCCAGTGTGGTAACCAAGCAGCCAGGGAGGCTGGCGAGAGGTTCTAGAAGTCGCCTGAGAACTTTGCTACCTAAAAGGTCAGGGCCTGCCCCTAGGAACGCCGACGACACGACATTCAATGTAAAGAGAGCTTGTGACCTCGGAGGTAATTGCCACATCTGGCCGCTTATCTGGGGGGACCAGGCGTCTGGAGGAAATGAAGAAGAGGGCAGGACAAAGGACGTGAACACGGTCGCTGGTGCCAGCATCGCCTCACCTCAGAAGTGGGTCAAGGAGGGGTGACTCCTGGCATCTGTCTTAGAAGGGGCAAGTCTAGGCCACCCCCACAAAGATGCCTGGTCCTGATAAACCTCACTGCTGCCACCACAGATTGTCCTACACATGGGCAGAAATTATGCCTTTGATACCTATTTATCATATGCATTTTGAAGATTTCTAAATATATGGATATATAGCTTTTAAGAGGTAAAAGTTGCCACCTGAACAGGCCATGTGAAATTTAGGTGGCATTTGAAAACCTTCTTGATCATATTGAGGATGAAAAGATGAATTGGACAATGTCTTTGTCATAAGAGGGACTTTTTTCACAATCTAGTAAGGAAAAAAGAAAACGTGATTTGTGGCGTGAACATGGGCAGAGTTTCAACATATTTCAGGAAGAATTCAATAAGTAGCCTGGTTTAAAAAGAAAATGATGCTACTGTAGAAGGGTGTGGTGAGAGATAAGTCTTAAAGGGTGTGATGAAAGATACTGTGAAAATGCCAAGCTGGTTTTGAGCATGACTGAATAGACAAGGAGCTTTTGTAAATATGAATTCGTGATGCTGGAACAATTGGCTGTCAAATGAAAAATAAATAAATTATTACCTGGCATTATATACAAAAATAAACTTCAGGTGGATTAAAAAGTAAATGTGAAAGGTAAAATATACCGGGCTGGGGTTGTGACTCATTGGCAGAGCACTTGCCTCACGTGTGTGAGGCACTGGGTTCAATCCTCAGCACCACATAAAAATAAATAAACAAAGTAAAGATATTGTGCCCATGAATAACTTTAAAAAAATTGTAAAAAGAAAATATGCCAATATATATTTCTAACCTTGATGTCAAAAGGTTTTCATAAAACCTTTTATTAAAAGTTAGAGACAGGAGGTTCCCAAGTTGCAGGCCAGCCTCAGGAACTTAGAGAGTCCCTAAGCAACTTAGTGAAACCCTCGCTCAAAATAAAAAATGCTGGGAATGTAGCTCAAAACCTCTGGTTCAACCCCTAATACTCCCCCCCCACCCTGCCCCAAAACGTGAATTAGTAGAAAAAGATTTATTTGAAAATGTTAAATTTAAAAACATCTATGTTATTTTTATTTTAAACCTATTAAAGAAGGGAAGGCACATACTTGGAAGATATATTTATAATATGTAGAAAGTGGGAAGAAATATGAAGCAAACTAGACTTTGACTAATTATCCAAAGAATGCACATAAATATGTCACATCCATTAGATTGATAAAAATGTAAGCCTTCAGTAATAATGTCAAGGATATAGTGAAAGGAGAATTATTAACTGGTGGAAGAATTGTAGATTATTACATTTATTTTTGAAAGTTATTACATAGCTATTACATATCTTTAATATGTGTATATTACCTAATACCCTTAAAGAGTCACATAGTCTGTTAGCTAGCACTTTTCAGATGTAGGTATACCTGCTATGATCTAAATATAGTTTGTCCACCAAAGTTTCATGTGTTGGAAACTTAGTCCTCAGTCTGATGGTTTTGAGGTGGTGAAACCTTTAAGAAGGAGGACCTAGTGAAAGGTAATTAGATCATGGCAGCTCAAGCCTCATTGATACATTAATGCTAACTGGAGTGAATATGATCTAGTAGCAGTGAATCAGTCTTTTTAAGAGTGAATTGTTGGGCTGGGGTTGTAGCACAGTGGTAGAGTGCCTGCCTAGCACATGTGAGCCCTGGGTTGGATCCTCAGCAACACATAAAGATAAATAAATAAAATAAAGGTATTGTATCCATCTACAACTACAAATTTTTTTTAAAGTGAGTTGTTATAAGAATGGGAAGTTATACTCCATGCATATATGATATGTCAAAATACATTATACTGTCATGTATAATTAAAAAGAAAAAATTTTTTAAAAAATAAAAAAGTGAGATGTTTTAAAAATAGCAAGCCTAGCTGGGCATGGTGGCACACACCTGTAATCCCAGTAGCTCCAGAAGCTGAGACATGCAGATTGCAAATTAAAAGCCAGCCTCAGTAATTTAGCAAGACCCTGTCTCAAAATAAAACATAGAAAAAGGAATGGGGTTATGGCTCAGTGATTAAGCAGCCCTCAGTTCAATCTCTGGTACCAAAAAAAAAAAAAAACAGCAACCCTGGTCACTTTCCCAGTAGCTTGGCTTCCTGTCTTGCCATGTGATCTTTTTCCCCCAGTTCTACACACACTCTCACCATTGTGATAGCATCCACTATAAGGCCCCCACCTGAGCAGAGCAGATGCCAATGTCATGCACTTAAACCTTCAGAGCCATGAGTTAAATAAAATTATTCTTGTCATAAAGTACCTAGCCTTAGGTATTTTGTTATAAATATACCAAACAAACTAAGACAATATCTTAGTGAAATATATGCATGTGTGAACAAGGAAATATGTACAAATATGCTCTTTGTAGCATTTTTGTAACAATGAAATATTAAATACAAATTCAATGATCATCAATGAGAGAATGAATTAATAAATTATTTAACAGACTATGGATGGAAATGAATAAATTGGAAGAACATATTAATAGAGATAAATTTTTATTAAAAAGAGGTAACAGAGGTAAATTATACCTGGGTGTAGAGGATAACTTCAACTGCCTAAACCAGCATTTCTTCTCACATCTTCTTCAGAAAACCATGAGGTGTACGAAGATGACATGATTCATGGCTTCAGCAATACTAGGAGAAAGAGCATACCACAAACATTAAATTGCCAGAAAACTGATAAGTGCAGATTTCCAATAGAGTATGATACACTTCTATAAGACTGAATGTGGACAGTGAGGAAGCAATACTTCAGAGAAACTTTGAAAAAGAGAAAATGGGAGTAGATGACATAGACTAAACAGAGGCAAAATTTAGCCCTGAAAGAGGATGCCAAATATTACGTGCCAAACACTGGACAATCCTAGGTCTTGGTAGGTTACAGCATTGGCTTTAAAGGAAGAGGACTTGAAAGTAAGGCCAGAGGTAAAGCTGTAGATAAGAATTGCTTTTGAGAATGAATCAACTACATTGGCAAAGAAGTGTGCCCCGCTTAAAGACATGGCAGTGAAGGGAAAGAAGATAGTAAGGGGGAAATTTTAAGATCCTGAAGAACCTAGTGTGGTGTCACATGCCTGTAATCCCAGAGACTCTGGAGGCCAAGGCAGGAGGATCTCAAGTTTAAAGCCAACCTCAGCAAATTAGAGAAGCCCTATCTCAAAACTTAAAAGGGGGTGGGGGATTGTGCTGGGGTTGTGGCTCGGTGGATAAATGCCCCTGAGTTCAATCCCTGGTACCAAAAAAAGAAAAGAAAAAACCTGAAGGAAAAACAAAAGAAAAATCATGCCAGCCACCCCACGTCACCTGATGTTGAGAGCCACAGCCGAAGGGGCCCCAGCAAACTTTCAGACTGCCAGCTGATGATTGGCTCACAGCGGCCCCAGCAACATCTAGCTGATTGGCTCCTCTGCGGTGATGCTCATTGGGCTGTTTCCCTGCCCTTTCAGACTATGGAGCTGCTCATTGGGGGACTTTTTTGGCTCCGCCCACACGACCCAGCCAATCCGCCTCAAGAGCAAGAGGAGTGGGGGAGGTGGAGAGGCTTGTGGGAAGCCGATGGTGGCAGTTGGGCTCTGAGGGTTTTTCCTGAGGAGCTGTTTTATTTGGCCTGTGTGGTTCTAAAAATAAAGTTCGTTTCTTTTGACAAGTGGCTCCTGAATTGTGCCCAGCCAGACTGCGGCATTTGGTGGGCCGCACAGGGAACGACTGAGGGTAAGTGATAAGGTAAACTGCTCGCCCCTGAGGGCAGGGCGAGAGGATGGGTAGCCATTTTAAGATTCTTCTTTTGTTTTGCTTCATTTTTGTTTTAAGTTGCCTGCCCCTGGAGATGTGTAAGATGGAAGAAAAACCGCTCACATCTGAGGAACAGATGGAGAGAAAGGACGGATGGACATTTCAGGAGGATAGAAAGACTATAATGATTTTCTGTTGTTCCAATTTTGTTTCACTCTGTTTCAGTTTTGTTTGGCGTTATCGTCTTGGGTTGTATTATAGTTATAGTAGAAAAATTCAAGTAAAAGAGAAGGCCTCTCAAGCTAGTAAGACAGAGAAAGAAAGTGTAAAGCAGAAAAAGCCATCAGGGGGAATGTTACAACAGGAGACTGCTACTAACACCTTTCTATCACCAGAGGGTGTAAGTGTCCAACCAACAGCGCCACCTCTACAGGAGACTGCTACTAACACCTTTCTATCACCAGAGGACGTAAGTGTCCAACTAACAAGGCCACCTCCATATGCTGGGAGGCCCCCAAACCCCGCAGTTGATAGTTGGGATCCTGAGACAAG